CAATTTTCGTATGCCTTAATATTTGAATTGACTCACTTAGATACATAGTTTTGCTTACCTACTAAGTAAAATGCTGACACTGTTGTAAATCATACCTTAAAATGGGGCTACTAACACCTGCTAACCGTTGCTATAGCCTTTAATGCAGAAACACTTTTGAAGTGACAAATAGAAAGTTATGATAAACAAAGTTTATTTAACTTCCATAGAAACTAGAATTCTTAAAAATCAAGTGAGCGAGAGTAGTGTTGCTTGTATTCCTTGTTGTTCATTACTCCAGGTAGTACTGGCAGAGGTAGTAGCTTTTTGCTTTTTGGACTTTTTGCAACCTGAAATGTCAGTTGACTGATGGCTGAGTAAACAACCAAAATCTGCTTCTAGACAACAATTGGACTGGGTTTATTTAACAAAACATTTTCTTCTAGGGTGCTCCAAACTTTTGTTGGAAACAAAATTGAGTTCTTGAGATTGCAAAGGTGGTCTGGAAGATATCAAGTCTATGTAAAACAAAGAAGGAACTCTGAGTTGCTTAAATCATATGATAATGCATGTAATATGAAATACTTGACCTAAATTATGGTATCAAACCAAACCCGAAGACAGCCTAAAACAATGACTTGAAGCAGTTCCTGCTCATTCGAAAACTTTGAAGATGAATGATGTTACCAACAGTGTTAGTTATTTCACTGCCAAGAAAGAGGTGTATGATCATGCTAGGAGAATGTATTCTTAATGCTTCCTCATTTAGCAGTATGATCAAAACAAATTCCATGTTTGAGGTCAGAATAAAAATTATCTTAAGTTGTTCTTCAACTTAATATACAAGGGTGGGATTAATTTCACCAAATTTTAGGTATCTAGAGTTCTCATTTGTACATCTAAGCTAGTCATCTGGGCTCCTTCAATATCAGTTATCATAAATGTTAATATTTAAAGTAGTTGTGCCCCCGTCCCTGTACAGTCACAAGGTAGGCTAGAGGAATACTACACCAAAAGTCTACCATCAAAAACTTAGCTTTGTACAACTGGAGATTTACAGGGGCAGAGGGCTTTTACAGGTAATGCCTGCCACTTTCTTTCACTTGCCTACCTTTAATAATAGCTCTGTGTTAACTATGTTCCAGACAACAATCTGTCTAGTCCCATCCACACTTCACTGAATAATGAACTAAACCTGAAGTTAATTTGTAATGGAGCCAGCCTGAGCCATAATCCATGCTTTAGGTGAACCTAAAAAAGGAAAATGTTAAGTCTGGAACTGATGTTTTAAATAAATATGGAAGTGGGAATTGGATGTGTTGCTTTTCCTTTGCTTCACTAGTTAGATTTTTAGGCTACTTCCTTTCTCTCTCTCATTCTGCTTGGTATTTTTGTTGCTAAAGCACAAATAAGAAACTAGCTATTATTGAATTAGGAGGAAACCTATATCTTGACAACTAATAGCAGTTTAGGAAACTTCTACTGTAGGTATTATCAAATTAAGGCTAGATGCTCCCAACACTTCCCACAGTAAACAAATAAAATCTGTGGGTTTTATCTTTGAGAATGTGACTCATTTGCTCAGCAATCAGATGCAGCCCTTGTACTTCATACGACTCAGCTGGAGCCCAGTCTGAAACATCAGTAGAACATCCTGTCTGGCTGAGAGATGCATAAACACTGCTTACTGAATGGGATTTAATGTAATGTTGATCTTCACGCAGTTGGCGATACCATATGTTTTTGTGTTTTAATGGTTATCCTGTTTATCTCATCTTTCTGACTTAAGTCCAAATCCTTCTGCTGAATAGGTGCCTTACTTATACTAGCTGAAAATTATACAACGAAAAAGCTTCATCATTAAGAGCATGCGTTAGTCTAAGTGGTCACAAAATTTTTTGTTAGCTTCATGTCTTCTGTATAGTTCCTCAATCTCTTGTGTTTGTATCTATTGTACCGCTTGTAGCAAATTGTGATAAAGTTAGGCATTTTACTGAAGATCTTTTTTTTTTTTTCCTGGATGATGTAGGTATACCCTTTTCATTGATTGGAGTACAAATTCGAATCAGATTAATGGAATAAGGAAGAATTAAACTCTCTGAACATGTACTCTCCAGGCTTTGCATCCTGTTCACTTTACCTTCGCAGAATACTACATAATTTTGAAACACTCTACAGATATAATGGTTTATGGAAAAGTCTTGGTGTGTCACTAACAGAGTACTTCAACTATAAAGGTAATTTTTTTAAAGTCATTGGCAATTGAAATATTCCTTATAGTCAAAGAAAATGCTGCATGTGAGAGCTACTGAAATAGTGGTCTGTTTTCAATAGCTTATGAGAAAACAAGTGAATGTTTAGTGGGAAGCTGGCTACAATTCCAGATAGGGTTGCAGAAGATGCCATTTTGTGGTCTCTGGGGCTTTTGAGAGCCCACAGGTGACAGGGCAAATTCCTCCTTTGGCACTGGCCTTTATGTATTGATCCTAAAAGAGGCACAACCTAAGTACCATCATAGCAGATGTCTGTCGCAAAGCATTATGTCTTTTGCATGCACGGTTGCTGTCTGTTATCAGCTGTAAGGTATTAATAAAACATGTAAAACAAGTACATTACTATAAACAGGAACACATCTTTGACAAACCCAAGGTTTTTCTTACATCACATTTCTCAGCTTATCCATCCTCTCTGGATTTTTTTCCACTTTTCTCTCTGTTTGCCATTGGTTTCATGATTCATTTTCATTGCTTATAACAACAATTTAGCTAAAACAGATACCGTTACCTGTATACAAGGTATATCTTTTATAACTCTAACCTCTTTATTTTCACAGGTTTTTATGACAATTACCTGTGAAAATAAAGAGGTTAGAGTTATAAAAAAAAAAAAAGATCCAATCTTGGATTCTGCCTTTGCCTATTCTTACGCAACCGAAAGTTTAATTAAGTTAATCATTGCTGGCAAAAGTAATGAAGATTGATTCAAAAAAAGGTTTTCTCTATCACAACTGTTCAAAAAATGTTAGATTGGGGTGGGGAAAATTATTGTAAGAAAGCTCTACAGATCTGGAAAACAGCCTCTGTACAAAGACTTACTGGAGAATGTGAAGTGTTAACTTTTGCATGTTAAATTGCTTATGAAGTAGATTGAGCGTAGTTAAGCTTGGGGATTTTCATAACCATTAAAACTTGTTTCTTGGGGGAACAGATGTGTTTTTCAATGGTCAGCCAAGTGTTCTCTCTTTGCTTTGACAATTGTTATGTATTTCATACAGCTAGATTGTGTTTTGTTATAGGCTTTTATGTTTTCCATATTCTACTGCTGTTGTACGTGTACATGTAATGTTTTTATGTTTAATTCAGATGCACATAGGCAACAAGACAAATGGAGTATGCAGCAAGATTAGTGCATCTATAAAATGCACTTCATTGTAATCATAAATGTGTTTGTAAACTTTTTAAAAAAGTAACTTATTTTAAAGCAAATGCGAACACACTAATCATGCAAAATTAAAAATCCAAAGGTCAATATTGTTCTAAAAGCTAACACCTGCTCAATGTACATTACACAGGCTTTCATTACCCTGTTACATGGTTTTCTTTCTTTAGCTGCTACGTTTCACGTGGAGAGTGACCGAGTAATGTGTGCAGAACAAGAAGACACGGTCTTATGGATCTGTGCTTTATTTTGGACTAAGTTTTTTTTACCCGTGTGGCCACTGGTAGGTATAGGATGGAGAAGGCGATTCAGGGTCAAAAAAAGGAGGAAGAGGCTTTAACAGGCAGGCAAAGGAGTTGCATGGTGCAGATGATATAGCAGTAACAGCCCAGGTTCTGAGGGAAAAAGTCGGGATAGTGTGCAAGAGCAAGAGGCTGCTTTGAGCAACCCAGGTTTCACAGGGAAGGACGAAGCATCCAGATTTATTCTGCTGATTTTCTTTGAAGAAGCTGCTCTTCCCCATCAAGCCCAAACTGCTTAAAACATAAGTAGCTGCCAAATGCCGGAACAGATGTGCAGCTGAAAGCTTGGAAGCAAGATCATGGGTCAAAAAGCTTGTCATCTAACACTTCAGACCTCTCCTTTCCCTATCCTCTTACTTTACTGGCTGTGGGAAAGAAAGGTCAAGAGTTGATGCCTCTGTGCAAATGGAGAAGCATGCCATGAGGTGTGCAAGAGCAGTATTTTCTCTTCCTTTGTATACAGAGAGTATTTTCCCTGCTTTTAAACAGAGATGACAAACGAAGAGATGCTGTTCCCCCACGGCCCCCTCTGGCACAGGGTGGCCCAAGGAGAGGTGGACAGCTGTCCAGGAGGACAGCGGATGCCCCGAGGGCCCCGAGCCCCCTGCCGGGGCTGGCAGCCTTCCCCTCGGGAAGGAGGGTGGACGATGGAGCTCCCCGGAGGCCCAAGAGCGCCGGGCAGGGCCGAGCGCCAACTGTCATCGCGTGCGTGTGTGTCTGTGTGTGTGGCGGGGTGTGCGCATTTTGGGGCGGTTTCTCTTTACTTGGTTGTTGTTTGCAAACAGCCGGGGCGGGAGTTTCAGACTTTCCCCTCTCAGCTCGGTCGGCTGCAGCTGCCCTGCCTCGTGGGAAGCGGGCTCGGCCTGGGAACGGGGCCAGGGGCTTGTTTACCGCCCTGCCCGCCGAGGTACCTGTGTGCGGGCTCGGGGCGCTCGCTCGCCCGCCCGCCCGCCCGCCCGCCCGCCTCCTGCCTCCCTCCTCCCGCCCAGCGCCCGCGGCGGCCGCTAACCGCTGACTTCCAGCCTCGCCCCCCTCTTCCTCGATTCCCCTCTCCGAACGGCCACAGCAGGAGCTCTTATCGCCGCCGCCGCTGACACGGCGCGGTCCCGCCCCGCTCCACCCCCTCCGCCGGAGAGGCAGAGCTGGAGGGCGGGGGGGGGGAAGGAGGGTTGGCGAGGCGCGTGGCTTCGCCTCCCTTCCCCTTGCCCCCCTCCCGTCCCGCCTCCCGTCCCGCGGCCAATCGGCGCGGAGGGAAGCGCTCGTGCCGCTTACGCCCCCAGGGGAGCCCCCCTTTTAAAATAAAGCGGCGGCGGCACGGCGGGAACAGGCTGGGTGTGTTCTGTGGGGTGGCCTCGCCTCGTTAGGTCTCGCACATCGACGGCCGGACACATAGACGGGGCGCCGCAGGATGCCCGCGGTGAGGAGGTGAGGCAGGCGGGGGACGAAAGGTCGTGAAGAGAAGGAGGAAGGCGGGAGCGGCGCGCCTGAGGGTCTCTTGCCCGCTCCGAGGATGGCGCCGGTGAGCGAGCAGCTGGAGCCTCAGGGTGCGGAGGGGGACCCCGCCGCCGCGCCCCCCCTACCCGGCCCATCGGCGGCTGAGGAGCCGCGGCGAGAGAACGGTAGCGAGTGGCGCCCCGGGACCGGCGAGAGTAGGGCCCAGCCCCGGGCGGCGGCGGAGGCCCCCGGGGGCGCGGGCTGCCCCGGGAGCGCGGCTGCGCCGGAGCCCCCCGAGGGCGGCTGGGGCTGGGTGGTGATGCTGGCCGCCATGTGGTGCAACGGCGCCGTCTTCGGCATCCAGAACTCGTGCGGGGTCCTCTTCGTCTCCATGCTCCAGCTCTTCGGCGGCAGCGAGGACAAGCAGATGGCCTTCAAAACAGGTGAGAGGCGGCCGGGAGAGGGGTCGGCGTCGCTTACAGCCCGTTCCGCCACGGGCCTTCCCCGCCCCCAGCCCGAGCGCAGGAGGCGTCCCGGCCGGGGCTCTTGCTGCTGGCGGTGCCGCCGCCCCGCGGTCGGTGTCCGAGCCCCGCGGGGCTCTCGGGGCCGGCCGCGGGCAGCGAGACCCCTCGGCAGGGGCGTGAGGGCCGGGCGGAGCCTGCCCGTGCCCCGCCGCAAGCACGTGGGGCTGGGCTGAGGCTCTCGGAAACGCTCCTTTCATCGGGGGCAGGAGAAGCTGCTCTCGCCTCCCGGCGAAGGTGCGCGCTCGCAGCCGTGGCCCCGAGGCAGTGCCGGGGGCAGCAAGATCCGGGCATATCAGGGGAGAAGCTGCAGGGAGAGAAGCAGGTGTACTCTGGCTTCTTCCGCAGCTGTATCTTTGTGTCTGTCATCGTGCATTGTTGGGAAGAGTGCACGCTCCCGGTCCCAGAAATCTTTAATCCCCTGCCCTCGTGAGCCTAATGGTTAGTCTAAATGGTTAATTAATAGTGGGGTATAGTGGCACTTAAAACACTTAAAAAATGGTCTTAACAGTTGCTAAAAAGAGCATGTCAATGTGCAGATTTACTGCTGTAACCAATATCACAAAACTCATGAGTAAAATTAATGGTGTTTACTCGACTTTAAAGACCTTAACAGTACTATCACAATCAAATATCCACTCTGCCATTACTGATCTAAATCACTCTGGACACATAAGTATCAATTAGTTCAAAGGTGAGCATAAATTCTATTTTATTTTACGTAAGTTTTCTTCGGAATGTGTCTTGTGCTTTGACTTTGCAAGCTGAGGAAATGCAGTTTTTGGATCTTGCAATAATAACAAATTAGTAGCTATAATAATTTATTATAGTAAATAAAGTTGGCTTATTTAAAAGGTAGCTTCATTTAAACTATTAAAAATGAAATATTAAAAGAGCAAATGTTGGCTTTTATGTTTTTGTTCCTTTCTAAAAAAAAAAAAGTGTTCCAGGTAGTAGTCTTGCAGAGGTGGAAGCCTTCTAGGAAACTTACTACTTAGTAGGTGATACAGATCTTTAAAAGAGTTTTGAAATTTATGTCTTCCTTAATACTGGGATAAGTGGGCCTAAAGTTGAGATGTAGGAAACAAAGAGGCTAATTTTCCTCCCCCAGCTTAATAACAATATTTTTGGCTGAAGTAGAAAACCAAGGCGGGTGTTTCTACTGAAGTAGGAAAGCTGGAAAGCTGTGGTGGAGCATTAAGTGATGTGTTCTCCAGCATTTGAACTGTTTATGGTGATATAGAAGGTGTATCCCTCAGTGTCCTTGAGCTATAAAGATGAGACGCTACATCTACACGTCAGGTATGGCAGTGTCTGCTTTGCAGCTGGGAAATTCATATCCAGAAGTAGGTGTCTGGGCTCCTTAGCCTGCACAGGAGAAGAAAGAGGTTCAGAGAAGGTGCTGTGAACATTTGCATACTGACCTGGGAGTCCCTGGCCAGTCAGAAATGCAGAAGCAAATGAGTGGCTGATACTCTCTCTGTTCATGATGCAGAGGTGTAATTGCTTTTTCTGGTTCTGTAGTAACAACCTCTCAAAACTGTTGTCATGTACTTAAAAAAAGTCTTTAAGTACTAGTGCAGTAGTCAAAATAATCCACAAGAGACAGATTGAAACTATTATGTTTTACCTTCCAGAAGAGTAGTTGCACCACTGGTGTTTGAGTGAGGCGAGATTGTGGGTGTGCTCCACCCATGTTTTTGAAAATTTGCCCAATTGAAGAAAAGAGTGTGGGGGGGTAATGGGAACTGGCTTTAAAGCCTAGATCTTTTGCATCCTGCTTAGAAGAGCAGAAAGAGTCCTGGATGGAGCCAGCACCTCCTGCATTGCTTTTTAAGTGATCTGAAAAACAAAACCAACCAGCTGCAGCTGCAGTTTGTTTTGCTCCATCAGATGTGCTCTGGTTTGGGTAATGCAGAAGACACTATTTTTGCCTTTTTTTTTTTTAAACTCAAGTTGGTTTAAGTTGGGGGAAATACCATGAGATAGCTGCCTTGGCTAGACGACTTGTATGCATGTGAAGGAGGACTGCAAATTAAAAAAAAAAGGAGTCTCCTGTGAACAGCAGATAAAAAGGTGTCCTTGCTTTCAATGCCTAAAAGTACCTTGATGAGTCGGGGGCACTGCAAGAGCTAAGCAGCAGCTGTCAGAGAGAGCTTTTTGTTTCTTAATGTTGAGCCTCATTGGCTAGTAACTGCTATTTTTTTCTTGTCTTGTAGAGATAGGACCAAATGTGAACTGAATTAAAATCCTCATACAATATTTAGCTTGCCAAAAGGGGGAGCTATGATCAGGATGGCCAATTGCGCTTAGTGTAATGTAGCTCTTATTGAACACTGATAGATTAGCTGGCACTGGTGTAGAAAGAAAAAGAATGACTAATGGAAAAAGTTACTATTTAGTGTTGGAGAAAACTCTAACCTGATTATTCCCATTATATTGATTATAGTACTTAATCTAGTTGGGTTTTTTGTTTGTTTGTTTATTTTTTTGTGCTAGGACTAATTGCTACCAAAATCTGGGAGTGGAAACTGCATTTGGGTTAGATTTAGTGAGTTGGAAAACTGGAATTTGTAGTGAATTGCTGTGTGGTTTTGTTTTTTTTTAATAGTCTAATTCTTCTGAAAAAATTTTTTTTTTTTAAATCTAAAATGCTGATTTTTGAGAGGTGTGAATATTCCAGGTAATTTCTTCAGGGATCCCAGGTGTCTGTTTCATCTCACTTTTGATCCAGAGTACCACAGAATTCAGATTTTCTTTTTTTCTTTTAAGTTCCAGGATTACTTAGCCTCTGCCATAAGCACATGTTTGCCAGAGGTTTCTGTGTGCCTACTCTTTTGGGACTAGTCAGTAGTTGTCTCTTGCTTGTTTTTCTCAAAAATAGGAATTAAGTAGGTTAGAGTATGTGCTGGTTTTGTTATCTCTTAATAGCATTTTGTAATATCTTAAAAATGTATGCCTATTTCTTCGTGTAAGGCAAAATGGGATGACATTAAGTATCATAGTCTGTGCTATTTTTATTAGTTTTAGTAGATGGATGGATATTTATCAGTATGAAAGGCAAAAAGGGAGGAGGCAGAATGGAGTAGGATGTAGTCAAGAAGTGACTCTGCCTTGTAGATGAGAAGTGGAAGGAACCAAAAGTACAGGCAAGGCAGCAGGGCCATTTCCAAAATGCAGCATCAGCACTGGATGTGTGAGGTAAATAACTATAATTAAGATTGTTGCAGGATTTAGGAGCAACAATGGAAAAACCTGTGCTGTGAATAATAGAGGGTTCACAAATGTCTTCAAGGAGCACCTTGTTATAATTATTTTTTATGTAAAAATTTGAACATAACTAGTATACAATATTTTGGTATTCTGTTAGTAAAAAGCTCACTTCCTTGCTCATGTAGTGCACTATATAAGCAAATCTATTGTTTCCTTGGGTAGCTACTTTTTTGTTCAAAAGCTAATTGATGTACAGCTGCAGAAGAGGAAAAGCCCCCAATATAAGTATAAAACTTCTAGAAAGGTGTGCCTGAAGTCTCAGGAAACTACTCTGTTCATTGTTTATAGCTCATTGTGTTTGAGGAACAAGTTGGGTGGAAAAAACCCATGTCAATGAAATACAGGACGCTCTTGGCCCTTGGAAATAGAGCAGACCTAGTGGGCCTCAAGTGCTCAAGTGCAATTGTAGCCTAATCATCCTTGAAGGGAAGGGATCAGGTTCTGGGACCATTCCAGGCTCTGGCAGGAAAAATGCTGGGTTCCTTTCCCTGTTGGAGTTGCCACATGGGGATGAGGAGCACTGAGCCAGTCCCATTGTTATCTAAGTTAGGGATCTGTGTGTGAGTCCCATCTAGTCTTGTGTTGTGCTGTCTTCATAGATGCCTCTACTGTACAGGGTTTTGTGTGTGTATGTACACATACCTATTTTCAAAAGGGAAGTAAATACTCTGATACTAGTGGCAACAGAGATAAAAAGGCTAGGTTTCAGTTTAAAAAAAAGTTAGATAAAACTCGTTTAATTGCTCCTTGTTCTATAATTTACAATGCCGGTTCTGTAATTCCCCTGGATTATTATCTCATATGTCTGGAGCGCTTCTCTTGAACTCTTGATAAGTTGTCTGCAGACTGATTAGCCTTGAGTCTGATAGTTAGGTTGGTTTTTTTGTGTTTTTTTTTTTTCTCATCTTGAATTCACGTTTGTTAGATCATTTTATTTCCAGGTGCAGGTTAACTTGCAAAAAGTTGTTTAGTTAGGGAGAATACTCTTCCTAATGTGTCTGAAAGCTGGTTACCGGTTTATTTTTGTGGGTTTCTTAAGAGGCAGTACTTTCATTTCTCTCTAAAGACAGCTGGCTATTGCCACCACTCTGCATTAAATTCACATGCCTCAAGTTATTAGCTTTGGTGTGCTGCCTGTCAGACAAAAACTGTATCCTCTAAAATCAACTTCATACAAATCCATTGAAATGCTAAGTTTTTACCGTACTTTATTCATAACAGTTTTGTTCCATGTGAAATACTTTTCATACTTTCAATGTTACTTCTTTGTCTTCGTCTCTGCTCCTATAAGCTTCTGTAATGTAGAGAAGAAAGGTACTGTGTCATGTTACAAAATGAGGCTTTGCTGTTTTCTGGCATGAATGATGTACTATGATAACATTGTGCTGTCTAGTTTGCATTATTTACATAACCTAATGTTTTTCTTGCTACTTATTATTAGTACCTGCAGCCAGTGAAGCTTAGTTGACTTTGAAGTTTTCCAGTGTGCATTGCTCCTTGCTCTTCAACCTTGTTTTGTTTAATTGATCCCTGTAATCTGTTCAGTGTCATCTTATTCATCCATTTTGGCTGCCATTCTTTGAGGTTTCTCAACTCCCTTCCTCATTTTGAGTTGGCCTAAATAACTGCTGTCTAAAGGAGAAGTTAGT